AGGGGATTCCTCTGCTCCTGGTAGCTGTTTCCCTCTTACTGAATAGAACTACTTATTCTCACTTTCCAGGGGGCAGATGATTTCCGCTGAAGACTGTGAATTTATTCAGAGGTTCGAAATGAAAAGAAGTCCTGAAGAGAAGCAAGAGATGCTTCAAACTGAAGGCAGCCAGGTGATGTGCATATTGTATCACGAACAGTTCCCTGCGTCATCGAACATTCCAGAAAGATCTTAGTGATTATGGGATAGTCAGTTGTAGGTAAACACCATAGTTTAACTAAAAACCCTTTCACTGGAAGGCTTTAAGAGAGTTCTAGTTTTCTTAGTTAATTTTGGAAAAAAATGTAATACCGAGTATGTTTATATCACTGTCCTTTTCTGTATTTGAGTGTCGTCTTAGAGCAGATTTCTATAATAGCAGAGAAATGACTGTTTCAAAGTTCAAATTTAAAAGTTGCTTAACTATTTTAGAACATCTTTTCCACTTTGTAGTCTCATTAGTAATGTTTGAAATAAAAATATTTGAATTTTCCATATTAAAAGGGTTAACATATTACTTTGATTACAGTGGAATTATATTTTCCCCATTTGTTTGTTAATTATTTGTATCTTGTTTGAAGCTTTCTTTTAAATTAATTGTTGAAGGGTATATGTGCTTGCCAGAGACAAACAGAGATACAGAGAGATAGAAAGAGAAAGCACCTTTCCCAGTGGGACAAGGCCATATTGCAGTCTTCTCCATTTCTCTGTCCTGTCGAGATTTTGGACACACATGCACATACACCTGGTATGTTTTTCAGACTGCCGGGTCTGGGACTCCAACTACCATTTCAGACCCAGTTCTCTTAACCTCTAGGTCACAGGCCTGCTTGAAGTGTGTGTGTTTATGGAAGGTCCTTTTTATTTCGTTTCATTAATTAATTGATTAATTAATTAAAAACTTTTGCTATGGGCACATATACTTGCCAGGGGGCCAGCTGGGGAGGGAGATGAGAGATCATCTCCAGGAGGATGGCTATGCTGCAGTCCCTTCTCCTCCATTCTCCTCTTGGGATTTTGGGTACACATCCACACATGTCTGGAGTGATTTTCAAGCTGCCTGGTCCAGGACTCAGTCTGTGGTTGGCCATGTGGAATCCAGCGTCTTAACCACCAAACCACCTGCTGGCCTCAGGGTGGTGATAGTTTTTTAACGTATGACTCCAACCCTATTACTGAATGGTGTCATACACATGAAACTGTTTTTTGGCCGATTTAAAGAATTTTATAGGATGATGTTGATTGGCTCCTATTTGATTTATATACTGAGTTTAGAGCCTGGCCCAGAATAGATGCAGTTTCCCCGCCCATCCTGTTTTCTGACATAGGCTCTGTTTGGCTGAAGGAGCCTTATGTGCTTGGTCTGTTCCTGACAACAGTCCTGGGAAATCGGTGGGTAACAGATTGCTGGCTCCAGCCTGTACTGAAGTCCAGAGATTGTCGTATAGCTGGCGAGTCGTAGATTAAGGACGGCCCAGGCCTTCTGATTCCCGCCTCCATACTCCTGTTGCTCTAGTGTTCTGCTTCTCAGTGGGCACAATAAAACGATGAAACACCCAAAGCCATGTAAGGTTTGATTGTCTACCTAACTTTATGCTGTCATGCATAATCTAGAATTGATAGACACGGGGCCAGCAGGTGGTGTGGAGAAGGTGCTGGACTCCTATGGGGTCAACTGTGGTCTGAGTCCTGGACCTGGTGTCTTGAAGATCATGTGTGCACCTTCTCTCTCTCTCTCTCTGATGAACTTACATGCTTTGAAGCAAATTTAAAAAAAGACAAATAAATTAGATAAGTAATTCTTTTTAAAAAAGAATTCATACAAGACTAGCACTTGATGTAATGGCTATGTTGCTGGACTCCCATGTAGTCAACTGTGGTTCGTGTCCCAGACCCAGTGGCTTAAACTCATGCTGGGCGCGTGTGCGTGTGTGCCCAAGATTCTGAGAGGAAAATGGAGGAGAAGGGATTGTGGCAGGACCCCGCCCCCGTGGGGGTGATTTCTTGCTTTCTATCTCTCTGTCTCTCTTTCTGGCTAGTGCACGTGCCCTATAGCAAAAACCTCTCAAAAAAAAAAAAAAAAGAATTGATAGTTGCTAGGCATGTCTATTTAAAAATAGTGAACACTGGGTCAGCAGGTGTCATGGTTAAGGTGCTAGACTCACACATGGCTGACTGTGGTCTGAGTTCTGGATCTGGTGACTTGAAAATCATGTTTGCACATGTATGTGCATGCCCAAGGTTCCTGGAGGAGAATGGAGGAGAAGGAACTGTGGCGTGGTCATCTCCCTTGGGGGATGATTTCTCACTTTAGTGATATCTCACTTTCCCTGTCTCTGTCTCTGTCTGGCAAGCGTACGTGTCCTGTGACCAAAAAAGTAAAAAGTAAAATAAATTTAAAAAAACATAGTGAATATTTACTTGATCATTAAAATGATCAAGTCTGATGCAAGTCATTGTAAAGTCCTCCCATGCTTTACCACAACAGATCTGAGAGATACACGTTTTCTGGGCTGGTCCTGCAGCCTGGTGGTGAAGGGAAGCTGGATCCATATGGCTGAGCACATTCTGAATCCTGGTTCCTGCAGCCTGAGGAACCTGCTGGGCACGTGTGTGTGCACGTCCCACGCCCTGACTGCACGGAAGAATGGAGGCCAAGGGATTGCAGTGTGGCCATGCCCCACGGGGGTGCTCTCTCTCTCTTCCCGTCTTTCTTTCTCTGGATATTACACCGACCTTCTGGAAATTTTACAAACAAAGGAAATGATATGAATTTTCCTTAATTAAAATCTGTTAGTTAATAGCATTTGTATTCTAATCTCTGAAAGAGAAATAATGTCTTACGAAAGTCCATGAAATTGTTGTGTTTACAACTGAAAACAATAATTAACATTCTTTTCTTTTTTTCCTAGTGTGCTAAAACGTTTATCAATCTGATGACGCACATCTCTAAAGAGCAGACGGTTCAGTACATCCTAACCATGGTTGACGATATGCTCCAGGTAGGTATATCCTTACACATCTGGGGACTTCGTTTTTCTTATGTACCTCACAGCAACTACATTTTCGTAAGGTCCCAACTACTGCACGCTAGACAGGAGCCAGTGCTGTAATGTATTTTTCTTACTGTGTGAATTATAATTCGCTGATAATCGGAGATGGAAATGCCCACAGGCTATTATTGTTGTTTTGAGGACATCAAGTAATCAGTATGTATTCTTGTGAGGTTGCTCAGAGTTTTTTGTTGGACGTCAGCAGAGTTTGGTGAATCACCTGAGGCTTTCTGGATGTCGTGTGCATTTATTGTTGATATGGCTTCTTCTTTTTAATCCATCAACAGACTCTGATGCCCAAGTGGGGTTCAGGGCTTTTGTTCCCTCTGAGGATAGCTTTACTTCTCATCTGAATCTTCCAGTTGCATTAAATGACTGGCTGTTGCTTTGCTGTCCCTGAGTACAGAGGGGTCTCCTTCATTCAAGATTTTGTATTTTATACCAGAGAATCTCGGTACGCAGAGCAGTTCTTACGGGACAGGCCAGCCAGCTGCTGCATCCCTGCACGTCTTAAACTGGACAAGTGTCAGTCTGGGCTCTTAGGGAGCATTGTTCTGTCACATTACAAGAAAAAAACAATTACTGGGAACCAGCAGTTAGCATAATGGCTATGTCGCTGGACTCCCATGTGGTTGACCATGGTTCGCGTCCTGGACTTGGTAGCTTAAAACTCACGCCGGGCGCGTGTGCGTGCGTGCCCAAGATCCCGAGAGGAGAATGGAGGAAAAGGGATTGCGGCGTGACCATCCCCCCTGGGGGGTGATTTCTCGCTTTCTGTCTCTATGTCTCTGTCTGTCTGGTGAGTGCACGCACCCTATAGCAAAAACCTCTCCAAAAAAAAAAGAGAAAAAAACAATTACTGATGGTCTGCTGTTCACTATGGGCTGTGCTAGTTGCCGAGACAAAGGTTGGAAATAATGGCACTTCTTGGGGGCCAAGCATCACAGGATTGTAGAGGCCCCCCCCCCACACACACACTAAGGTTTTAGCCACAGGGCTTGTGTGCTGGCTGGAGAGAGAGAGAGGGAAAGTGAGAAATCACCCCCCTGGGGGATGGCCATGACACAATCCCTTCTCCACTTTCCTCCTGGGATTTTGGGCAGAAATGTACATGCACAGGTGTGATTCTCAAGCTGCCAGGTCTAGAACTCGAACCATGGTCGGCCACGTGGGAGTCCAGCATCTTAACCACCACACCACCTGCCGGCCCCTGTGTGATTTTCTTTCTTTTTTTTTTGGAGAAGTTTTTGCTATAGGGCACGTGTGCTCACCAGAAAGACAGAGAGAGACAGAGAGACAGAAAGCGAGAAATCACCCCCCAGGGAGATGGCCACACTGCAATCCCTTCTCCTCCATTCTCCTCTCGGGATCTTGGGCATGCACACACATGTGCCCGGCGTGAGTTTAAGCCACCGGGTCCGGGACTCTAACAGCAGTTGACTACATGGGAATCCAGTGACATAGCCATTACGGTAACTGCTGGTCCCACCCTGTGTGATTTTCTAATGTGAGGCAGGATCAGTCGCAAGCCTCGACTGAGTCAGGTCTATCTTAGTACGACCTAGGTCTCTCTCAGCACTTCTTTAAGACAGTGTGGTTTAGGGGTGGCAGGTGGTGGTGTGGTTGGGGAGCTAGATCCCCATATCACTGACCTCAGTTCAAGTCCAGGACCTGGCAGCTTGCTTTTTCACTTTCCCTCTCTCTCTCTCTGGTCAAATTAAAATAAATACATAAATATATAAATTAAAATAAGTAATTATTTTTTAAAAGGACAGTTTAGAAAAATGGGGTTGTTACAGTCTGCCTTGGTTATCTTGGTTTTGTACAGGATTCCATCTAGTATGAAGACGCCGTGAGTTGCAGTGTAGGCTGTGGTCATATGTATATCACACGCACTTGCGCCTTCAGTTACTACACGTACACATAGGCAGTAAAAACCATGATGCACCCGTAACTCTCAGTTTATTTTTTTTTTGGCACCGCTGGGCTCTTTCCAGTTGCCCCTTTGGTATTTGCACGTCTTCTGTGACAGGTTGTCGAGCCCCTCTTATCCTGGTAGAGTGGGTCTGTCCTTGTCAGTTGAGCACCTTTTTCTTTAATATAGGTAAATTAAACCATCTGTAGTTATGAATATTACTAAGTTCAATCTCAACTCTATTAGTATTACAGTGTGCAGTGGGTCACATTTACTGTTTTATTCTCTGTGATACTTTTGTTTGTACTTTTTTTATTGGAGAGGTTTTGCTATAGGGCGCATGCGCTCGCCAGAAAGACAGAGACAGAAAGTGAGAAATCACCCCCTGGGGGGATGGCCACGCTGCAATCCCTTCTCCTCCGTTCTCCTCTCGGACTCTTGGGCACGTACGCGCACACACACGTGCCCAGCGTGAGTTTAAGCCACAGGGTCTGAGACGCAAACCGCTGTTGACTACAGATTAATCCAGCAACGTAGCCATTACACCAACTGCTGGTCCCTAAAGTTGCATTTTTAAAGCTTTCTCAGAACAGGTAGCATTTATGTATTGTTATTCTGCACTTGTTCCCACCTTTCTTTTGTTATACTAGATTTTCACACTGCTCCTTATGCTCAGGTTTTTCTAGCGCTCTCTTGATTGGGAAAGCGGATCTGCCAGTGTATTCTTTAAGAAGATCTTGTGGGAACAGTAGTCTCTAAGTTGTGCATTTGAGAAAAAATTTTTTTATAATTTTCATACTTGCAGACAGTTTGAGTAACAGAACCCTTGGCTTGCAGTTCTTTGATTTTTGAGTCTCTTCTCTTTAGCGCATCTGATAATTTAGTTTTAGTTTTTGAGACCATTTTTCTCTTTTCCTTTCATTCCTCTTAATTTAATTAGCTCTTATTTTCCTTGTTTAGGGGTGATTTCTTAATTTTGGTTTTGAGTTTCTGATTCAGGGTGGGTTTTCGTTTTTCCACATGTTTCTTTGAGGACATTTAATTCAGTTTTGATTTATAGGTTTCAGTTTTCTTTTGCTTCATTTTTTTTTTTTTTTTTCAGAAAATAATTTTGTCATCTGAGATATTTGATGAACATCTTCTATTTTCTTTTTGTGATAGCTGTGTGTAAATTCAGGCTGCTTTTATCTATTCACATCACAGCGTGGGTGGCTTACAAGCCTAGGAGTACCCTCTGGTCTTTTGTAGCAGGTACATTTTCTTTAATGGATAGCTTTCTTTTGGTAGGAGGGCTGATTGGTTTTTTTTTTTTTTTTTTTTGAGTGGTTTTCGCTATAGGGTGTGTGCATTCTCCAGACAGACAGAGAGAGACAGAGAGATAGAAAGCGAGAAATCACCCCCCAGGGGGGATGGCCATGCCGGAATCCCTTCTTCTCCATTCTCCTCTTGGGATCTTGGGCATGCATGCACATGCGCCCGGCGTGAGTTTAAGCTGCCGGGTCCGGGACTCAAACCGTGGTTGATTACATGGGAGTCCAGCGACATAGCCATTATGCTAACTGCTGGTCCCAGGAGGGCTGATTGTATATCCTTTGATTTTTTTTTTTGTGGGGGGCGGGAGGAGGAAAGTCCTATTTTTTGTCTTGTAGGGCCTTATTTTTTTTTTTTTTCCTTTCTACCACCCAGCCTCCTAAGGATGCTCTCAGTCTCTTTTTATCTTCTTCTCTTCCAGGAAGTGATAATGTCTTTTCAAAAATGTTACCTCTTCCTTTATTCAGTGCACTGGTCTACAAGAAGTCTTTTCCATTTACTTCACAGTTAATGTGTTTATTTTCTGGTGGTGATTATAGATTCTTTTGAGCTTGTATCTTCTACACATTTTTTAGTTATATCTACTGCTCCAGAAGCGTTGAGGTGGGAATGCGAGAGATAGCTTTGCTGGAATTTGTTGCTTAGTTTTTATGATTAATTAGAAATGTGTCTCTTATTATTCCAATGGTGTGTTTTATATCTTTTTATTATTCTTTTTGGTGACCTGTATTTATGAAGGGTCAGTGGAGAAATCCAGATTTAGATCGCTGTTATCCTCACCCACCAGCTCAAAATATATGCATGTGTGTATTTATTGGGTTGTTGAGAAAGTCATGATACATTTTTGCATAGAAATACATAGAAAAATACATCATGACTCTCTTGGTGATCATTTTATATATGTGTATATATGTTTTCTGTATATGTGTGTGTGTATATATATATATATATATATGTCTTTTTGTGTGTGCGCGTGTATGTATATACATATATGTATTTAAGTTTTTGCTATAGGGCACATATACTCACCAGAGAGAGACAGAGAGAAGGAAGGTGAGAAACCACTTCCCACCCTCCCAGGGGACTGGCCATGTTGCAACCCTTTCTCCTTCATTTTCCTCTCAGGATTTGGGACATGCACGTATGTGTGTCCTGTGTGATTTTCCAGCCGCTGGTCCCTGACTTAAACCATGGCTGGCCATGTAGGAGTCCAACACTATAACCATCATGCCACCTGCTGGCCCCCAGCTCAATGTATTTTAGCACTTGATTTTATCTGTAAAATTTTAGTTACATTGAGAAATTGTCATATACCTTTACTGTTCAAGTTCTTGTGCTGCTTAAAAAATTATAACTAAAATTTTTCCTTATTTTAACCCAATTGTTTCATTCTTACCACTTCTGAATACTTTTGGCAGGCTTGCTTTTTCTTCATGTTTGACTTTTATACCTGTTTTTGAGGATTTGGTTGTATTATGTACCTGGGTCTCATGTGTGATCACTGAGCGTACCTGACTGGAAGGACATCCCCTGTTCTCTTAAGGGTCGAAGCCTGAGCGCTTCCACCAATGATGGAGTCACGGCCTGCCTGAATTTTGAATTTTTTTGGTAGAGTCGTTATTATAACTATTTCAATGACTAATCGAGACTTAAATGATTCATTACTTAAGGAGATGGTAGTCTATTCCTCAGATAGGTAGCCTAGCACAGATTAATATTAAAATGAAAAAAAAGAAAAATATTAATATGAATGTATTTAAAAAGAATGAAATGTTGATCTGGAAATGAAAATCATTGTTTATGAGGTCATTTGCAGTCTTCCTGAATATTGCTACTTGGTAACTGTATTCATTTAATGACCCGGAAAGTGGATTTCAGTCAGTGAAATGCAGAGGGCATTTAGGTGAAAGGTGTTTGTGTGATTTGAACTAAGAACACACCTACTCAGATCTTCTACTGACTGCTAATGTAAGATGTTTTTGCTGTCCCTCTATCCCGTGAACATTTGGAACGTGTCCCTTGTGTCCCTCGCCTGCCCATGGGTTGGTGGTGCTTCCTGCTGGTCCTCCAGCTTCACCTGACTTGTGGTCACCTGACTTGTGCCCTCCCGATGCGGATTTCCTCTGAGGTCAGGGTGCTTACACATCGGTGTTGGCAGAGCTTCCAGACAACTTTGGGAACCGCTGCAAAGGTGCAGCCTGAGGGAACCAGCAGTTAGCGTAATGGCTATGTCGCTGGACTCCCACGTAGTCGACCGCGGTTTGCGTCCTGGACCCGGTGGCTTAAAACTCACGCTGGGCACGTGTACGTGTGTGCCCAAGATCCCGAGAGGAGAATGGAGGAGAAGGGATTGCGGCGTGACCATCCCCCC